ACCCACACATTGTAGAATTCTATTTATTTGAAATGTCTAGGGGGTGCCTGGCTGGCTCAGTTGGTGGAGCATGTGACTCTTGATCTCGGGTCTGTGAGTCTGAGCCCCACTTCCTGTGTAGAGATTGCTGGAAATGTCTAAAACAGGCAAATCCACAGATTTGACAGAAAGTACATTAGTGGTTGCCAGGGGCTGGGGGAGGTGGGATGGGAAGTGATGGCCAACAGGTATGGGCTGCATTTTAGGGTGATGTAAAGGTTCTGGAATAAGATAGTGGTGATAGTGGCACAATTTTGTGGATATACTAAAGCCCTCTGAACTATATACTTTTTTTTTTTAATTTTTTTTTTTAAGATTTTATTTATTTATTTGACAGAGAGAGATCACAAGTAGATGGAGAGGCAGGCAGAGAGAGAGAGAGAGAGAGGGAAGCAGGCTCCCTGCTGAGCAGAGAGCCCGACGCGGGACTTGATCCCAGGACCCTGAGATCATGACCTGAGCCGAAGGCAGCGGCTTAACCCACTGAGCCACCCAGGCGCCCTGAACTATATACTTTTTAAAAGGGTAAATTTTATGGTATGGAAATTACATCTCAATAAAGTTGATATTTTAAAAATTATAGTCTGCAAATGCTGGTAAAGTTGCAACAAAACCTGGGTACTCAAGTTGCCGGCCGCAACTGAAACTGGCATAGCAACTTCACCAAGTGCTATGCCAGTGGCAATGCCTAAGAGATGGAGAGGGCTCCATAAGGGGTGTGGATTACTTTCCATGGCTAAAGCTTCCACTATGGACATCCAGTAAACGTCTAGTTGGCTGAGAAATATACAGTTGTGCCCAGAGGGATAACAAGGAGAGTGAAGAGAATGCCTGAACCAGTGAGAAGGTGAGCAGTGCCCTGAGCCACCCAATTCCTGAGAAGCATCTGTGGCTACAAAGTCCCAGGCACAGGGTTCTGTACCAGGGAGGCTTGCCTGGGGCCTTGGGAGCCAGCCAGCTTGGCTCTTTCTCACCATTCAATTCATGGCTCTAAGTTGACGTTGTGGGGTCAAGGCTGCCTGCCAGGGTCCAGGGCACTGTTTCCCCCACTCTTCTGCCATTACACACACACACACACACACACACACACACACACCTGGCCTGGAAAATTCTAGAAGTTTTGTCCTTGAGTGTCAAGATTGCATGAGCCTGTCATCCAGCAAACACCCAAATGTCCTTCCTGGACAGGAATTCCAAAGGAAGAAATCAAAGGACAAAAGCTATGGACGTGCAGATGTTCATTGGCTTATTCGCTTCGGTCATAAAAACTAGAAAGTGCCCAAGTTTGGAAATTAAAGAATGTTACAATGAGACCCTCCCTTTGTAAGTTTTGCAGTCATTAAAGTCCATCATCATAAAGATGGGTAGAAGAAAGAGAATGATAGGAAAGAAGCACAGAAGGAAAGCATCATGTTAACACTTTGTGTGGGGAGTTCTGTTCACCTGGAAGGGACTGTAAGGCACTTGGGCCATGATGTCCCCCACTGGCTTATTGTTATCTGGAACCTGAAAGGCTCAGGTAATTAGACTCCCAGGCACAGAGACATACTAACCAGTCTCATAGAGTTTGATGTATAAACCAGACACCAAGACAAGAATATGCTGCGAATCAGTGCTGCCCAGAAGGCTACTTTGTGCAAGAGCCTGGTCCCCAAGCATTTGCTTTTGGAAAATTAATCTGGGTAACCTTAAGCAAGTCCCGTAAACCTCCCTGAGCTTTACTTTCTCACCTATCAAATGGGAGTGTCAGCTCACAGGCTGTGGTGATGGTGTTGGGGCAGCAGAGGACTGGCTGGGGCAGGGCCTTGAAAGCACAAGAGCCAGATGACACTCACCCTGGGGATGAGCCAGCCAAACTCATGATTGTTGAACCCCATGAGGAAGGGCACAGAGTGGAAGTGTCTTTCCCTCAAGAGTTCCATGGGGCTCTTGGGAAAGAAGGTTCCATCAACAGTGTAGAAAGCTGTCATGTTCTGCAGGAGAAAGCAAGGCACAGGTCTTCCCAATCAGGCCCATGCCCTAAAAAGAAAGCATCTGGGGCTCACCCGGCTGCATGCTTGGGTGGCTGAGCCTTAGAGGAGATAGAGGTCACCAGGGTTGGAGGACCAGGAGGAATAGGGAGCCCAAGCAAAGGATGCTTCCAAGCAGACCTCTTTTCTAGAAGAGGTGGCCCTCCATTCATGCTCCCAGGCCTGGCTGGGCCCTCCACAGCCAGGGGAGCCTTCCCCTCAGGGGAGGCTGCCCTGAGCCTCACCCCAGACTGCTGACAGTTTCTCGGCTCCCACGAGAGCTGGACGGACCCCTCTGTCCCATTGCCTGCCACCGCCCCCTGAGAGGTGGGCATACCGTCTTCACGCTAAGGATCTGCTCTTCGTTTGGCGTCTGCCGAAGGCACTGCATCATCTCAGCAGAGGAGGCGGAGCGGCAGCCCAGGGAGTCTGCGAAGCCCTTGGGGACAGACAAGAGCTTTGCCTCTCCCTCCCCCATCAACCCTCACCTTCCAGACCTCTGCCTCCTGTACACACAGGGTGTATTGGTAGGAAAGACGGGCAGTGATGTCAGAGATGAGGCCTCGGGACTGTCCAGAGACCTGCCATCCACCCGAGGAACCCAAGGCTTCCTTGCCCACCAGCTTGGGTGGTCCCCAGGCACCCCGTGTGTCTCCCATTGCATCATACTGTCATTATTCGTGTGGGTAGCCGAGTCCCCTTACCCCTCTGAGAATGGTATCATTATCTAGTTAACTCTATTCCCAGAGCCAGCGGGCTCAGTCAAGCTGTGCAGAGTGAGTAAGGAAATGAGACAGGGTTCAGAGAGGAGGGATTCCAGCAGGGCTAGTGTGGCAGGGAGGGGACAACAGGGGTGCTGGGCTGGGGGGTGTCAGCGGGAAGGGAGGCACTGGAAAGCAAGGCACAGAGGTAGGGAGCTCCCTACCAGTGACACCCTCTGGGACTTCAGGGCAAGCACAGGGCGGACTGGGGCTGGCCCATGGTGGGTGAGAAAGAATGAAAGAAATGCAGACCTGAGCCAGGACCCTTGGATTAGAATCCAGTAACCTTGGGGTGGTGATGACTCCACTTTGTGCGATGGCTCTGTGGAACAGTCCTGTGGCCAGCGGGGACAGGACCTGGGTGCCGTGTGGAGGACAGGGTGCTGTCAGGGGTGGGCAGAGACCCTGCGAGGTCTGGGGCCACGGGAGATATGGCTGCTGGCCCCCTGTGGAAACTCACCAGGGCAGAGACGATGCAGGAGCCAGCAGAGGTGCCTGAGATGGTGACAGAGTTGGGGTCACCTCCAAAGGGGGAGATGTTCCGCCGCACCCACTGCAGAGCAGCCACGACATCTAGGAAGCCCCAGTTGCCGGGCGCATGCTCGTCCCCAGTGCTAGGGAGCCGGGGGGTTGGGGGCAGTCATTAGGGTAGGCTGGCTGGCTTGTCCTCAGCCTTTAACCAACCCTCAGGATGGCAGACCCTCCCCTTTCCCTAAGTCTGGCCTGGGTAGGAGGCAGGCTCAGGAGCCCCCTGCCCTGCCTGTGGTGTGGGTGTGCCCAGCTGGACAGCCTGCCAGAGCTCAGTGCTCCTTGCCCCCATCCCTTGCTGGGATCCTGGTGCCAGGTCAGGAGTCAGCACTTCCTGTCCAAAGGACCAAGTTCTCTGTGTAACTCTGGGCATGGGGGAGGAGCCCTTGTTCTCCAGCCACCCCGCTTGCATGAGAAATCTGCATTCAAGCTCTGCACCCCTACCCCAGTTTTCCGACGGGCCTCCCAAGCTGGTCTCTGCCCAGTGCCAGCAAGGCGCTCCCCCGGGCTGGCCACCTCACCTGAGGAAGCCGAGGAAACCCAGACGGTACTGGACAGTGACCACTACCACATCCCCGTAGGCAGCTAGGGCTGACCCGTCTTGGGAGGTGGCAGCGCCAGCCACAAGAGAGCCTCCATGGAACCACACCATGACCTGCAGAGAGGCCATGGGACAGTGACCCCCAGCTCCTGGGACAGCAGCTGCCCTCCCATCAACCCAGGGTGTTCTTGGGACCCCTGTGGCAGTGTGAGAACAGGGCTGGGGAGAGGACAGGCCAGGCGGAGCTGCAGGTACAGACGGGGCCCTCGGGGCTGCACACCGGCCGGCCGGCCCCTGCAGTGGCCTCAGCTGGGCTGTAGATGTTGAGGATGAGGCAGTCCTCTGAAACAGGGAAGAGCCGGTGCTTTCCATTCAACACAAATCTGCTATTTTCCCCTCTCTCCAGATCTTGCAGGCACCTGCAGCCAGGGATGAGCCCGAGGGCCAGGGGGTCAGCCCACCAACCCTGACATCTAGACCCCTGCCACCAACCAGCTTGTGCACCTGCAAGGGGCTACTCACATGGCAGGGGCAGTGCTGGCGTCCCGCACACCCTGCCAGGGCTGTGCTGGGCGTGGGGCTGAGAACCGGCCGGGCCCCAGCGGTGCCTGGGCGAACGGGATGCCCAGGAAGACATTCACCAGGCGGTCTGTGCCCTTCACGGCCACCTGCCGGCCTTGCACGCGGCCCAGGGTGGTGTCCACTTCAGGCTGTGTGACCTCAGGCCCTGCGGGCAGGACAGAGGGCCAGTGAATGAGTTTGCAGCCTCCACAGGTGATGGTGGGAGGGAGGTCAATGGACTCACTAAACATTGGTTCTTGGAGTACCTGCTCTGTGAGCTGTGTTCTGAGCACTTAGCACCCAGCGCTGTGACTAGCCTTCCCAGCAAGCTTGGGAGATGGGCCTTAGGATGACCCCCCACTTTCTCCTCCCCCCTCGAAGTTCTACCAGTCTCCTCTAGGCCAACGAGTCCCAGGAGGGCGAACTAGGCTCTCCTGGGACCCACAGACCTGCCATGGGGCTTTGGGCCATCAAGCTAGCTGTTCACCCTCGGATTTCTCATCTGCTAAATTAAGTGTAATAACCACATCATTTTGTTTTCTTTATTTTGATGTCCTGCAGACTCTGGAGGGACTGTGCACGTTCCAGGGCTGGCCAGTTCTTAGAGCTAATAAACAACTCCTGGAAAGGTGTCTTTCAGATGCAAACCAACCAATCCAGAGCCTGAGCCCCCAGCCACCTCCTCTGGGCTTCTCAGATTTCCCATCAATAACCCCTGCCCTAATCACACCACGGCCAGATACCAAATAAGGAAGGACAGCCCCTGCCCCAGAGCCTACCGAGAATATTTGAATTAGCCTCTCCAGAACCTGCTTAGCCAGCTGGCTGTTTCCTTCTGCAAACAATAAAGGCTCTTGCCCACGTTTTCCCTTCCCCTCTTCTGCCTCTTGACTGACCCGGTGCTTCCCTGCACACTGTTTGTTTCTAGAGCTGTGGGGAAATCTTTCCTGACCCTCATTTCTACAGCTGTGTCTTGCTGATTAATCAAATCCTGGGTGCCCTGAAAACATTAGGACAAACATGTCCTCTGGAGGTTTGCTCTGGAGCTCACACACGACTGCAAGGGCAGCGGATCTGCCCAGAGATGATGAGTACAACCCCTGCCATTTCTCGGAACTGAGGGCTTCTTCCCCGAGCGGGCTGCCCACCCCTCCCCGTCCCTACCTCCCTCTCGTCCCCTCCACCCAAGTCCTCCCTGCAACCCCGAAGCTCCCACCTGGGTAGGCTCTGCCTGCATGTCTTACCAGTGGCTGTGACAGGGAACACCAGGAGCAGCCAGGCCACCCAGGGTAGGACCCTGGACCCACTCTGTACCACTGTCCCCATGCTCCTCACAACTAACTGGGAGCAGAAGTGGTGGAAGGTATGGTAAGGCCCACCCTTTGGCACAACCAATCTCTGAAGGGCTTTGTTATAAAAACCTCAGTGGACCTCCCCATCTGGCTGGTGGCCAGCCCTAGGACCCAGTACCTCTACCCAAGCTGGGGAGGGAGGGTTCAGAGATCCACTGCAGAGGGGTGGATGTTGTGATATTTCCCCGGGGGCGGGGGGTGGGGGGTGGGGTGGGGTGGCGGGCGGGCATGGGGGTAAGGGAAAGAGCCTGAGCTTGGGAGCTCCGAAGCCCTGGCTTCAAATTCCAGCTCTCCTGACCCAGTGAACTCCACCAGGTCCTGTGTGCTCACTGCAAGAGACACACAGCACCCATCCAAAGGAATGGTGGCCAGGGACCGTGCTGCAGTTCCAAGGGAGCCCATGGCTTGGGGCAGGGGCTAGTGTCCAGTCCTACTTGTCAAGGGGGTGCCTGAGCCCCCTGATGTTGGATACAGGGAATTGAAGGTGATATTATTTGTTTTGTTTCGTTTTGTTTTAAATTGAGGTTAAATGTATATAACATACAATTAACCATTTTAAAGTATATAACTCAGTGGCACTTAGTGTATTTGCAATTTTGTGCAAATACCACATCTTTCTAGTTACAAAACTCTTTCATTACTTCTGCAAAATATCCCATACCTGTTCAGTAATCACTCCCATTGCTACACGCTCCCCCATCTCCTGATAACCTGATAACCATTCATCTGCTTGCTGCTTCCCTGGATTTCCCTATCCAGGATCTAGCCCATAATAGCCATACAATAGGTGACCCTTTGTGTCCAGGTTCCTTCACTTAGCATAATGTTTCTGAAGTTCACTCAAATTATGGCACGTATCAGTACTTCTGTCCATTTTTGGCCGAATAATAATATCTCACTGTATGGCTCTATCACAGTTTGTTATTCCATTCATTCAAGGATGGGCATTTGGGTGGTTTGTAACTTTTGACTATTCTGAGTAATGTTGCCGCAGACACCGGTGTACCAGTTTCTCTGAGTTCCTAGGTTTTCATTTCTATTGGCTGCACTGATACTCTTGTAAAGCCTCAGGACCTTGGGCCTAGGTGGCCCTGCCATGGGGCTCCAGGTCCAAGGATGCCCAGGGTGTATTTGGGGCATGATTTTCTCCTGTCAGCCCCCCTCTCTTGAGGCTCCTCAAGTAATAGGGAAGAAGCCGGGCACTGCCCTCAAGGGGCCCCCAGACTCCTAGCAGGAGGTTCTGAGGTCTGCAGAGAGAATGGAGTAAGAGGAACTGGAAGCTTCTTATTCACAACTCAAATCCTACTCCGAATCCCGGGATGATGTAGTTGAAGGGCCAGACCTCCTGCATTCAAATCCGGGCCCTGCCGAGGGCTAACTGTGCCACTTTTTACCCAGAGCCCTAGGTCTGGTTTTGTCGTCTGTGAAACAGTGATGATCCTAGGAAGCACCTCACAGGGTCTGAGATTACATGTGTGAAAACACAAGACATGGAACCAGAGCCCATGGAAGCCTGTTCTTGCCACAGACCAGGAGGTCTGTCAGGGGGTCTGTCTCTCTGGGACAGCCTCTAGCCCAAGTAAAGGCAGGACTCACCTCTGGGCCTTAGTGTCGGGAGCATGGCTGGCCAGGAGTCGGCATGGTGTGGGGGATGTGTGGGAGTGCAAGGCTCTGGTAAATAATTACTGATTCAAATAGAAGTGTTGGCTCAGTGAGGAGCTGGGTAAGGGTCATGCTTAGACAAGATGCCAGATTCTCTCCTGGGGTTCCAGCTGGCATTCAGAGCTGGAGAATGGAGAAACTTCCCTCCGTGAAAAATAACCAGTGCACCTCCCTGGACTGTCTTTGGCAGCCTCTCAAGTGGGGCCCATCTCTCACCCTGCACCTTGACCCATTGGTACATGCAGCAGAGCAGGAGCAAGGAGGCGAGAGAGACAGAGCCAGGGACAGAGACAAAGACACTGAAACAGGGAACAAGCACACTAAGATACCACTACACACCTGCTACAATTAATCAATGGTGGAAGACGGGTAAGACTGAGTGTGGACAAGGCTAGGGAGCAATTAAAATCCCCATAGACGGCTGGTGGGGGCATAAACATGTCACTTTGGAAGACAGCTTGACATTTTCTTTAAAAGTTAAACACGCGGGGTGTCTGGGTGGCTCAGTGGGTTAAAGCCTCTGCCTTTGGCTCAGATCATGATCTCAGGGTCCTGGGATGGAGCCCCACATCAGGCTCTCTGCTCAGCGGGGAGCCTGCTTCCCCCCCCCCTGCCTGCCTCTCTGCCTACTTGTGGTCTCTGTCTGTCAAATAAATAAATAAAATCCTTAAAAAAAAAAAAAGTTAAACCTGCACTTGCCATATAACCCAGCAATTCCACTCAGCTATTTCCCCCCTAAAAATGAAAACATTGGGCACCCGGTGGTTCAGTCACTAAAGTGTCTGCCTTCAGCTCAGGTCATGATCCCAGGGTCCTGTGATTGAGCCCCACATTGGCTGCTTGCTCAACTGGGAGTCTGCTTCTCTCTCTCCCTCTGCCCCCCCCCCACTTTTTTTGCCCCCTCTCCCCCCCAAAAAAAAAAAAATAAAAAAAAAAAAAAGGAAAACATGTCTGTACAAAGACCTGTCTGAGAATGTTCACAACAACTTTATTTTTTTTTAAGATTTATTTATTTATTTATTTATTTATTTGACAGAGAGATCACAAGTAGGCAGAGAGGAAGGCAGAGAGAGAGGTGGAAGCAGGCTCCCCGCAGAGCAGAGAGCCCGATGTGGGGCTCGATCCCAGGACCCTGGGATCATGACCTGAGCCGAAGGCAGAGGCTTTAACCCACTGAGCCACCCAGGCGCCCCTCACAGCAACTTTAATAAAAATAGCCAAAAAATAGAAATCACTTAAACATCCATTAATTGGTGGATAGAAAAAATGTAGCATGGCACATATGGAATACTACTTTGCAATAAAAAGGAAACCACTGGTTGAATCTCAGAAACATTATGCTAAGTGACAGAAACTGGTAATAAATGATTTCACTTCTATGACATTCTAGAGAAGGCAAACTATTGCAACAGAAAGCAATTTGGTGGCTATGTTGGACCAGGGTCAGGGCAGTGATTGCAAATGGGCACGAAAGAACTCTTTGGAGCAACAGAAACATTCTAAAACTTGAGGGATGCCTGGGAGACTCAGTCGGCTGAGTATCTGCCTTTAACTCAGATCACGATCCCAGGGTCCTGGGATGGAGTCCTGTGTAAGGCTCCTTGCTCAGCGGGGAGCCTGCTTCTCCCTCTGCCTGCTCTGCCAGCCACTCCCCCTGCTTGTGCTCTCTCTGACAAAAAAAAAAAAAAATGTTAAAAAAGAGAAATAGTCTAAAACTTGATGTGATGGTGGTTGTATGTCTCCAATATTTAGCCAGCTTTGTGAAACCATACACCTAAAGTGGGTGAATTCAATTATATGTAAATTATTCCACAATAAAACTGTTTAAAAAATAAGATGACTAAGAAACTAATACTGGGAACCCACTTTTGGAAAGCATATCATGCATCTGCAGGACTGAAAAACATACAGAGGCATGCATGCTGTAGGTGCTCAGTAAATGCTTCCAGGATGCAGGAGCTACATTATGCAGCAGTGGCCGCTAACAGGAAAGCGCCTCCCCTCTCCCTAGTTTTAAGGTTATCCTTGTCTGCCATCTGGTGGCCAGTCTCCATCCTTCAGGCCCCTCTTCAGGAGGCTCTGCGGTTGGGCTCACATGCAGTGGAGGGAAAGAAGGGGACTTTCCTCCTGGAAAATCTAATGCCTGGAGAGGGCAAGTTGGTCAGAGGCAGGGGCATAGCAGGACTCCTAGGTCTATGAGAAGAAGGATACAGCCTCTGAGAGACAGAGAGAAAGTGCTTTGGTGAAACAAAGAGGCAGAGTGAACATAGTTCGGTACCTTTGTGCGCTGAGATCAAATACTGCAGAAGAGAGGGTTTCCTTTGCGGGGAGGGTGCACAAGGTGAGGGAAGGAAAAGTTTAGGGAAAGCAATGGGGTAAGCAGGAAAACTAATCATGTGGATGCCCATGGGGAATTGGGGGAAGCTCAGCAAGGTGGGGGTCATGGCTGGCAAGGAGAATTCCAAAAGGCAAGAGGAGAGACCTCCTTGGATGGAGAGACCTTTGGAAACAAAAGAGTCCCTTATTCTGGACTTTCTGGTCTCCCAATCCAACTTCCAGGAACCATCTCGCAGATATGGATCATGATCTGGATGGATGTGCTACAATTGTGTAGGGTTTGCGCTGCCTCCCCCCGCACCCCTCCCCCAACCCTGTAGTAGGTTGAGGGACCCAGCTGGGTCTCCTGGCCCCCAAACAGCTCGTCCAGGCTCCAGGGGCCCAGGGACAAGCTCAGTCTTCTTACAAAAATGGAGTCAGTCACCTCGTGGGACACAGGTAAGAGACTGGTTGGGTGTTGAAATGTCAGTGGTAGATGACATTTACTCCCAGGGACAATGGGTGGGGATGGGGACTTTGTCC